CAGTAGATGCAAATTTACTATGTCTGGAGAGAGAAAAGTAGTGGGATTTTGTTTTTCACTGACATAGTTTGAGGAGCTTTTAGAAATATCTATGAATCTTAACTGAAAAATGCTTTACGTTCCTTAATTTTCCTGAATTTACTTATTTTTATTGCATTTTTCCTAGAAAATGCAAGATTATGTTTGCATATTTATTTGATAGAAGTTTTTCAATGGTTGGTAGGAAAACAAAAAATTAATAGCAATATCACAGAATGTAAGGACAGGCAGCAAACAAGGAAAATTTAAAATGTGGAGAAACTCAGTAAGGGAAGTTAAGGGAAGGACCAAACACAGTGTGAGGGTGGCAAGTCAGTCTTCTCAATGTTGCCATGAAGATTCCTGGTGTTTGGGTCTTTCAACATCCCTGAGTTATTCTCCTTAGCTGTGGTTAAAGCTTGGTGGCTTCCAGCCACAGTCAGGGGAGGTCACACCCACAGCCTCAGGGCCAGGCCAAGGAAGAAGGGTGTAGAAACAATTCTGTCTCTGAGAACATGGGTGAATGGCTAAATTTGCCTTCAAGGGAAGATCAAACACAGGAGTAGATTCCTGCTTTGAACGACATGGAAATGGAATTGTCTGAAGTCACCAGTCTCCCCATGCAGGGTTTAGATATGTTTAATTATGTGATAAATGTTCTTTAAGAAAAGCAGTAACCATACTCCAGTTATTTCTTCAAATAATTTTGAACATTTGATCTCATTTATTTAGGATAGTACTACTTCCCATTGTCATCTGGTGATTTATTTCACCATTGATTCAATCTCTTAACGTAAACTACGATGTACCAGACTCAAGAGTGGTCTCCGTCTTGTGAACTCACATCCAGGGAGCCACAGCACCTGACTGGGATCACAAATTCATGAATGCCCCCTCCCCCCCAAAAAACCATAAAAGTTCCAAAATATAACTTAATATGTTAAAAGTATATGCTAGATGCAGTGAAGATAGAAAATAGTATATGTGACCAAAAGAGTCCAGAAACTCTTTATATGTAAATAAAATGATGGGGTAAATAAAAGATTTCCAGAAGCCCTTGGAGGGTAATGTAGAATATCTGGCCAGGCAGGGTTTAGGGGAATTGTGCACCCAGCCTCTGCACATAGAGAAAGTCTTGACTCTGGCTGATAAAAAAGAGAGGATTGTCACCGTTGGAAGGTGCCTAAATTTACATTATATTGTAAAAAAAAAACCAAACAAGCAAACAAACCAAAAATTACTATAGATTTACCATGGGTCATATTGAAAAACATTTCATCTCCACTTAAGGACACCAGTGCATAGAAAGTGTTCGGACTAGAGCTATCTCTTAATAACATTTAGTGTGCTATATTATACACATATATCCATGTACAGTATTGCATATATAACATCTCTACCATTACCGTGTGTGTGTGTGTGTGTGTGTGTGTCTGTCTGTCTGTCTGTCTGTCTGTTCTTTCGTGACCATGTGGTACTGCATATCCACTAAGAACCCTACAGATATCTCTAAGAAAGTAACTTGAGATTTAATGTGATTTTTATGTGTACATCAACTGTTTAAATTAACTAAGTGCATGAAAGCTCTTGTAATTTTATTAAATTTAGCTTTGGTAGTGACCAGCAATAAAGATGACTTGCTCCTGCTAATAGATTATGCACTGGAGTAAAACATGGCTTTCTATTGCCACTCCAGCAGCTGCCGTTTCAAGTATACTTACTGCTAGCTACAATATCACCGAGGTTTTTTTTTTTTTTAAATTATCAAAAGAAGTTCATGCTATTGACTCCTTTACTTTCATGTTTATTATTCCCACTGAGAACTGCTAGACCTAATTCTACCCGTCTCCTCCCTGATTGAAAACATTCAAACCTAGAAAGTACAGTATTTCTTAAGACATTTGTAACTATTCATCATGGATATTAAAATTACAATCATGCCACATTGTATGAGCCGCGGTTAAAAAAAAAAGTCCCTACCCATATGGTGATCAGGTGACCAATGCTATCCAGGTTTGAAGATGTTGAATGTTCTAATACCTGGTATTTGAAATTTTGACATGTATTGCATTCGTTTCTGAATATGGAGAATACATTTTTGCTCATCGAGAGTAAATTTAAAATGGGGTCTTTTGTAGCAGCACCCGTCCTGTTTGGAGTGATATAGCAGATGCTGAATGTTCACATATCAAACAAAATGCCAGCCTTCTGTAGAAAAGAGGTGTCAAAAAGTTTCTTTGTACCTTTAACGCATGTGATTATGTAGTACAAAATGCAGAGTTTGTAAAAAAATTTCTTGAATATACAGGCAAAAAAAATGAATAATTCAAAACAACCCCTAAGTTCTACATTCTATTGTCCCTTTATAACACAGGCAGAAGATAGCGGTGTACTCCCAATAGAGCTGAACTTGCACAAGTTACACCTCAGAAAATGCCAGATGGTCTATGGTCTACTTTTGAGAGCTGTCACATATGTAAAGATTTGAAAAAAGAGAGACAGCTGAATGAGAACAGTGCATCATTAAAGCTAGAGCGAGGGTCCCCAGGCGTTGCCTGTGTTTTAAGAAGCATTGTGTCATCTCCATATTAGCATGCGCTTTTAGAGCTATACATGATTTGTACACAATAAGGAGAAATCTATTATAAACCAAATAGTTGTGGTATAATCAGGCAGGCAGTTTCATTCTTCACTTGAACATAAAATCATGTTTCCTGTTTAGTTTTAATTGCATCTTGACCATACGATTAAAATCATAGCTATGAAAAATGACGGGTGAAGTTACATTTCCTATCTATTGAGAGGAGTAAGAGAAAGCGTATCCAGTTTTGATTTTGTGTGCAGCACACACATGGTAAAATCCCTCAACTAAAAAAAAAATGTTTTAATGTTTAAAAAATATGTAAGTGAAGAGTTAATATTTGGTCATTTAATTGTAATTCAGAAACCACAGAAAAATAATTAGGTGATAGTGAAACAAAAAAATAAAAGTACTATCATTTAACTGCCATCAGAAATAGAAACGATTTGAAGATTGAAATGTAGATAAATCGTTAAGGATGCATTAAAGTATCATTTTAACAGTAACCTGTAATTTGTAGAGTTAGTTCTGTTAGGTGGGGAAAAGGTCAAATCTCTCAATTGTTTAGAATTTGGAGGCAGGACAGTCATCTTCTACCACTGTCTTTTTATTTAATGAGAGTGCTTAACTGTTACATAGCAAATCTTAGGTTATCTTGACCTAAAGTATGAGAAGACATTTTTGACTGATTGGTGAGGAGTTGCCCAGCATTGGTCAGTGACATTTCAACTTAACCAAGATCTCAGATCACTTGACTTGTTAGTTTTAGAGAACAGGTAGCTCAAACATTGCATTTATTTGGAGAGCTTACTAGAAAGTGCTCTGTAAAGGACACTGAATTGAGTTTAGCAGACTTTTTTGGCATCTTCTGAAATGCATCTGTGTAACTAGCGGTGGGTTCAGTGGCTGCCAGTAGGATGTCATTCTTGTTGTTCCACGAAGCAAGAGCATATGGTTCTCTAAATCACATGATTGCATGTTCCTAAGAAGTGGATCTCCTGTTTACGAGGCTAGGTTACAGATACTGGTCCTGGGGTTGCATGCAGCTGTTTATACATGCTGGTCAACAGAGATCATCACTAATCATCCAATGGTTCAATGATGTATTGTGCAAAGTATTAGTCCATCTTAATATCTTATAGTTAATGTATTCTATCTTTCCACTTCAAACTAAAAAGGGTTTATTTCTTTATACTCCTTTTCTTTTTTCTTCTTGGTGGGAAAGAATTACTAAACTAATATAGCAGGATTAACTTTCTTTTGCCCACTATTTGGACTCCTTCATGCTTTTCAATTATATTTTGCCATAATTTAGATACCTGTATGTATGTCTGCCCATTCTTCCTGCTTTAGCTCTGGACCTTGATAAGTATCTATTAGCATTGGAGATTTGCTTTCTACCCTATGAGGAAAAGCTAATTTTTCCTTATTCATTTGTTAATTGGTTACCATCGATGTACTGGAATGCTGTTTATTTTGTACAGTTTACCTTAAATATATTTTCATAATTCCTAAAGTTTAGTAGCTTAGATTATTCATTCATTTGTGTGTACAACTCCACAAGTTTGTGTTCTCCTTTCTATAACTCTGCCTTTTTTCTTAATTTTTCTATCTTATTTCTTTTCTTGGGACTTCTGGTGTAATATTGTCTGAGAGAAAGGTGTGCTCCTTGCTTGCCCCAGACTCAAATGGGCGTTGTTGTGAAGTGTTTATATTCACTTTTAACAGCGGCACCAGATCAGATTGAAGTAGTTTTTCCTTAAAATGAAATTGAAAGAACAAACACAGGAAAAGTTTTCTTCCAAATTTAGAATTATTTTGAAGAAAACTGTATGTTTGACTGCTGTCCAGCTTTGAATGCCTGAATTCATTACAAAATGTAAATGATGTACTTAGTAATGAGATCCTGGTATTTTATTTATAGCATTTAGGAGAGATAAAAAACATTAAAAAATACAAAAAACAAACAAACAAAAAAGTCCAAGAGCAGCTTTCACCAAACCAGTGTTGAATTACATTTTTACATATTTTAAGTATTATTTTAAATTACCAAAATATCCAATTTATTTCTCTAATTTTATATTTTTGTATGAAGTGGTTTTTGTTGAATTTATTTATGTTTTTCTTCCTAAATCTGAGCTATATCTACTTTCTTTCCTTCCTTTTTTCTTTCCTTTCTTCCTCTTTCTTTCCTTCTGGAACATTCCTCTTCTACCTTTTCTCCTTTTTCTTCTTCCTCTCCCTCTTCCATAAGATCCCTTTTTATTTAGTTTTATTATCATGGGTTAGATCTCAAGTCTGTATTATTGTATTTATATATTCAAATCTGTATTTTCATTATTGTAAAATAATGGCTTCTCTGCTTAACTAGATGAATTTTTCTTCTTTGTTTTTGACTCAGCCCAACCTGAGCGTCTGCCTCAACTGCAGACATCAGCACCAGAATCCAGCAAGGAGGAAACAGGCAGGATAAAGAACGGCGGCCACACAAGTATGGGCAATGGGAATGGAATTCATCATGGAGCCAACCATGTGTCCATGGATAATCACACAATGTCCGCTCCTGTTTCCCAGAAAATGCACAGAAAAATTCAGTCCAGCTTGTCTGTAAACAATGATATCAGTAAGAAGAGGAAAGTAAATGCTGTCTTTTCCCAAAAGTCAGCTTCCTCACCCGAAGGTAAGTGTGACATTGATGTGTACCAAAAATACCCAAAAAACAAAAAACAGAACAAAACAAAAAAAAAGCCTTCACATAAAATTATTCAGTCATAGTAAATTGATCCAGAAAACACCAGGAGCATTTTTGCTTTTCCATCAGACAAACAGAAATTTTGGTAAAATCCTCTTAACTTTCTCCAATAAAAAGTCCAGGATAAAAAAGGGAGATCGTGCAGCCAGCACTCTGCTTTTAGATTGTCATCCTAGAGTGACTACTCATTATTTTAAATATAACAGGTGCCTTGTTTTTTTTAAATGCCACAGTTAAAAATATAAATATTCCACTTGGGAGCTTATCAGAGTGCCTCTGTTCTTTCCCTCCTTGGTGCAACATGTTACTCTGTGCTGTGCGGTCCAGATAAGATTACCTGCTTGCACGTTTTTGTCTTGCAAATTCATTCATAGTATGCAAAGCTGAAGTGGGAAAAAGATCATGTAATTTCCCTGATCTTGCCAGAGAATGGACCAGGTGATGGGTATCTACTTTGTGAGCCATCTTCCAGCTCCCTTGCTGCCAGCACATAGCACATACAGCCCTGCCCAAACCTTTTGCTCCACTCTCAGAGATTCTTGCCAATGCTCTATGACCTTAAGAGACCTAGTTATTATTTCTTCTTCAATAGTACCTCATCTTCCCTTAACCAACTGGAAGTCAGGTTAAATACTATGAACCTAGGGCTGTTTTTCTTTATTATAAAACAAACCCAATAGGATGAAACCTGCAGACTCTCTTTGTATGGTTCCTTGTGTCATATTAAAGACTCAACCTGTGTAATTAAGGTTGTAAATTACTCCTAGGCTGTGTTGCCAAAGATTTGGTACTAGTACAAATATGTATTATGCATGCACGTATGTATACACATATTTTTCACTATCTATGCATATTTCCTTTACCTTTCTATTTTTATTTACCTGAAATCTGAAAGAAGAGTCTCTGGAATACCACTGTAAAGTTAGCTATGCCTACTCACAGTAATAAATTGAGCTGTAAACAGGGAATTTTGTTGAGTTACCAGTAATGAGTAGGAGAAAGGATATTACATTTTGGCTACAGATGTCTTAAACTCAACAGAGGCAAAGTGTTAGGTTGATCAAATGATATGATAATAAATGGTCTGCATAGTTCCAGGTCAATGACACTACTTTCCAAACTAATTAGATTGAAAAGGACATGATTGACATTTGAAAATGAGTTTGACACGTAAGCTGCATGGTCATCTCTGAAGTATAGGTAGGCTGTTAACTAAACTGGCTCTCCAAGGAGTTGAAAAGGCAATGCAATTTTCTTTGGAGGATCTTTACTTCGAGGTGATTGGGAAAAAATAATTGAATGCAATTGAAATCTACTTGTTTTATACATATGAATTTACTTGTTATGCTCTTAAGCCTTTGTTTACCAGTTGATATTTACTTGTTTTTAATATTAAAAAGGGAAAACACTGGCATCTCAGCCAAACTAGAAATAGCCTATGGAGCTTTTCAGTAGATTTTGCTTTTTAATTGAGTTTAAAGGCATCTGAAATGAAAGGATGCAGCTTTTGAAGAAAGATGGAGGAGAAAAAGCAAAGTGTACGAATGAACCAGACAGGCTCTCATTCCCACCGATTTTTCGTCACTTTTTTATTTTGCCATCTTCTTCTTCTCTGCCTCCACTCTCTACTTAGAATTGACCACACATATTTGGATATGGAGAAGCTAAACTATAATTCCCCAAAATAGCATTTAAGATCAAGTTGGAACATGAGGAGAATGAAACACCATGGAAAGTATCAAATGCTTTGCAGAGACCCAGCCATGTCTTCTCTCTTAGCTTCTAGTATTTGGTAGCTGCATATTTTGTGATCTGTTTTTGAATCTATATTATCATTTCATTGACCTATTCCCTATGTTCTCATCGTTAGCAATCTTCATGAATTTAGTTGTCACAGAAGGATGTGATCTTAAATTTTGCCTCACGATTACAGTCATGTACCTCCTCTTTTGAAGTCAAAGGAGGTGAATAAGGCAAGTAGCATATTGGTCAAGCTGTAGAAACCAAACAGCATCTGGTTTTGAAACTCAGTTTTACCTTGAACCTGCTGACTGTGATGTCGCCTCTGAACTTCTCTGTTCCTGTTTCCTCATTTATATTTTGATAATTCAATGCAATTCACAGAACAATAATGTGGCTGAGAGGAATAGGAGTATGCATGAAGCAGGTAGACTGTCTCTGGTACATAGAAGGTACTCTCTCCCTAGATGAGACAAAAGAGATGAAAGAGTCTGATGGAGTCAGCTCTGTCTCAGCACTCCACACACTCAGCCATGTTGAAATGCAGGCCTCACCTTAGTAGAAACAATGCTCTATCCCTAAAAGTGTTTCCCATACCGAGTGTGGAAGCCCTTCATCTTAGTAATAAATCACGTTGTATTGGCAATATAGTAATTCTTTCATTTGAGCCAGAAAGTTATCTCCCAGTTTGCCAATATTATTTATACTCAATGTAAAAAGTCACAACCAAAAACGAGCATAGTGACAAAGTGAGCATTGGGAGCTGGTTTTGAAGTTTTCAGATAATATTTTCTTGTACTTTATTGTTAGTTTGCTGCATGTAGAACAAGCATACATGATGCAGGCTTATGTAAATATGAAACAGAGACAAAAGATTACACACCTATAATATACAAAGAACATCAAAATTCTGATGTCAGTGGTATCCACAAAGCTGTTTTAGACAATCCAGGGCTACATCATAGTAAGGCCCTGTCTACTAAAATAAAATTTAAAAAAAAGAAAGAGAGAAAGAAAGAAAGAAAGAAAGAAAGAAAGAAAGAAAGAAAGAAAGAAAGAAAGAGAAAGAAAGAAAATATCCCCAAACATAGAAACAAAGGCAGCTTTTTAAAAAAAAGTCTCTGTATTAAAACTTTCCATTGCAATTGCTTTAAAAAACAAATTCCATTCATGTTCATTCATTTAAGTAACCAAACCAATCTAAGACCCACTGTTCTAGCATGTACTATAGGCCTTCTGCAGCCAGAGACAATCCCAGGAGAGCCAAACCATTCTTGCTGTGGCCCTGTGTTTCTGGGAATGCCTTAATTTTCTCCACATTTCACAAAGAGGACTGTCCTGCATCTGAAGTAGCTTGACTATAAAAAGGCACTCAAAACCTTAAAGACAAATCTGTCTTCTAAAATGATGCAATCAAGACACTGGAGAAGTGTCCCAGAAATTAAGAACATTGGCTGTTGTTCCATGTGACCTGGGTTCCGTTTGTAGCTCACAATTGTATGGGCTTACAATTGTTTGTAACTCCAGTTCTGGAAGATCCAATACCTAATTCTGGCCCTTGAAGGCACCAGGCATAATTCAAGACCAATTTGCTCTGCATAATGAGATATGACCTTAGCGAACTGGGCTAACTAACCAACTGAATAACTAAATAGTCTGAACTAAAAGCAACTTACCCCACATCTCAACATCACTTCAGTGTAAATGGCAATCTACCTGAGGTAGATGCATGGACTTCCATTTTAGTAAGCATGTATCTACTTAAATCTTTTCCTCTTGAGATTTTAGGAACAGCTATGACACTTGTGCTCTGTATTGGTTTTTCTCCCCTAAGAGATTGAATTCTCAAGACCGGTGGGTAGTTATGACTCTATTTGTTGTGTTTTCCATGTTGTCTCTAGTCTTACTGTTTCCCAAGTATTCATGAATGGCGTGTTGATTTATTTCAAACCATGGTGTCTCTCTCTTCCTTGCAACTCACATAGCTCATATATTCTTCTAAAATGTTCATTTTTTGCAGCAGAGAGAAAAAAAATACTTATGTGATAAGACAGCACATTTTACTTAAAGGTTATTAAATTAGTAGATTTCATCCTGTTTTGTATAATTAAATATTTTCATACATTCTTAAATTTTCTGATTGCATCACCCAGGTGGAGAGTTTTAAGACTAAATGTGTAAGAATCTTGACCTTTGAAATAATTATAGCGTAATTTAGTATCATCTAATATTCAAATTGCCAAGGGTTTTCATTAGTCTTGAAGACACTTTTCCTTTCATAGAGATGGTATATGCTAATATGTTTTAGGTGTGCCAGATATAGCTATATTTTTTTGTAAAAATTAGGTTTCAGTAAAAATATTGTTAAAGAATTTCTATTCTCTTTAGGGATGTTTGGTAATTTATTTGCACTTCACACTTGATACTTAAGAGTTAGTATTTGTAAAAGGTACACATTGGATTTCAGCATCTCACTGAACATCAGTGCTTGGAAAGACAGTGAAAAGCACTGGCTCTACAGCAGTAGCTGGAGATATCTCACTTTTAATCATATGGAAGTATGCATCTGATGTGTAGAACATATATTATAAAACCTGTCTGCCTGGGTTTGCTTGTCTGCTCTCCCCATGACCATAATTTATATGAGGGTGAGTTAGTAGCCTGTTTGTGTTGCAGTATCTTATCTGGGAAATGGGGCAGGTATACGTACCTATGACATAGGATTATTATAAGTATTCAGTGAGTTTGCACAGCTTTGGAGTCATCATTACTGATGGGTATGGGGCTGGTGGTAGGAAAGTATGCTTCCTAGAAAGGGTGCTAGGTGGAGACTTAAAAGATAAGATAGAGTTGAGTTAAATGGTTGAAGGTAAGACTGTCCTAGTTTTTTTCTTTTTGATTGCCGTGATAAAATACTCTGTTTAGAGCAACTTAAGGGGAAATGCGTTTATGTTCTTTCTCAGTTTAAACTTGGAGTCCATCATAGCAAGGAAGGAAAGGTTGCTGGAACTTTCAAAAGTCATTTTCACATCAATAGTCAATGACAAAGAGACCTGAATGCATGCTTGCTTAACACTCAACTCACTTCCTCTACCACTATCCTGTTGAGAATGCAAATCCAGGGAATACTGTTGCCCACATGGACTCAGTTTTCCCACATCTACTGTAATCAAGACTATTTCCTACCT